AGCTTCGTCGACCGTCGAGGGTGCTGGTGCTGCCGGTCCCGGAGCTGCTGGGCCTGCGGGTCCTACTGGAGCTGGAGCTGCTGAGGGTGTTGGTGCTGAGACTACTGCTGTCTGTCCTGGCGGTGGTTCTGCTGCTGGTGCTGCTGGAGGTCCTGCCGCTGGAGGTGTTGGTGGCGCTGGTGCTGTCGCTGAGGGTGCTGGTGCTGTCCCTGCTGAGTCTAGAGCTGCCGCGCGGCCTCGGCCGTACTTCATTCCGCTCCTACAGCAGGTTCTTGGTCTTTCTCCTTCGGTAGAGTGTCCACAGCCTGTCCAGTCGCAGTCACTGTTGGAGCCTTCCTCTCCTCTGCCTGCTCCCTCACCTTACACTGGTCCTACTGGAGGTCTTGCTGAGCGCCGTGAGCCTGCGTCTCGTCCCGCGTCGCCTGTTCGTGCTGCTCGCGCTAGTGGTCGCGGTTCGCGTCAGCGTCCTCCTCCTGTCCCTGGCACGCACCGGATGTCTCTGCGTCCGTCCACTGCTCCTCTGCGTGCCCCTTTGCCTTCTCCTCCTGAGTCCTCTCTTCCTGCGCTTGCCGACCCTGAGTCGGACTCTCTTCGCGCTGCCAGTCCTACTGTCACGCGTCTGCTTGCTACTGTCGTCATTGACCCCTCTTTTGAGTCCACTGCTGCGTCTGCTCTAGTCGCTGAGCTCGTTGACTTTGCTGCTCGCTGTCGTCTCGACTACGCTGCCAGTCTTGTTGCTGAGTCTGCGTCTGTCTGTCCTCCGTCCGTCGGGGGTGAGTGTGCTCTTGGCATGGACGTCCTAGAGGACAGACAGGAGGAGTTACAGTGTCTAGCGGCTGCTTCACCTCATCTCGCGTCTGTTCTGCTTGCCCCTGAGGGAGACCCGGATGCACTAGACATCCCGACTCCGCGTTCTTACGCGGAGGCCGTAGAGGGTCCCTACTCCTCTCAGTGGCAGGCAGCTATGGATGCAGAGATGGCTTCCTGGAAGTCCACAGGCACCTACGTTGACGCGGTTCCCCCTCCTGGGGCGAACATCGTCAGTGGCATGTGGATCTTCAGGGTGAAGCGGCCGCCGGGCTCTCCACCTGTCTTCAAGGCACGGTACGTTGCTCGTGGCTTCAGTCAGCGGCAGGGAGTTGACTACTTTCAGACCTTCTCTCCCACCCCGAAGATGACTACTCTTCGGGTGCTGCTGCACATAGCCGCTCAGCGCGACTACGAGCTTCACTCTCTCGACTTCAGCACTGCGTTCTTGCAGGGTAGCCTGCACGAGGAGATCTGGCTTCGCCGTCCACCTGGCTTCACTGGGACTTTCCCTCCTGGCACCCAGTGGAGCCTCCGACGGCCAGTCTACGGTCTCCGCCAGGCACCGCGTGAGTGGCACGACACACTGAGGACTACGCTTGCGGCTCTTGGGTTTGCTCCTTCTACTGCTGACCCGTCGCTGTTTCTTCGCACCGACACTTCCCTGCCGCCGTTCTACATCCTCGTGTACGTCGACGACCTGGTCTTTGCCACAGCGGACACTGCTGGACTCGCCTACGTGAAGTCCGAGCTGTTGAAGAGACACACGTGCACAGACCTGGGTGAACTGCGCAGCTACCTTGGCTTGCAGATCACTCGGGACAGAGCACGCCACACCATTACCTTGACTCAGTCACACATGGTGCAGCAGGTCCTTCAGCGCTTCGGCTTCACGTACTCCTCGCCTCAGGCCACTCCTCTGCCTACTCGCCACTCACTCTCAGCTCTGCCTTCGGATGAGTCCGTAGAGTCGAGTGGTCCGTATGCAGAGCTTGTTGGCTGCCTCATGTACCTGATGACCTGCACACGACCTGACCTTGCATACCCTCTGAGCATTCTTGCACGCTATGTTGCTCCTGGGAGACACAGACCAGAGCACATGGCTGCAGCGAAGAGGGTATTGCGCTACCTGTGCAGTACGTCAGGCATGGGGCTTGTGCTTGGAGGGCGGAGTCCAGTGGTCCTTACCGGCCACGCGGACGCTTCTTGGGCTGACGACCAGGCTACGCAGCGGTCGTCACAGGGTTACACCTTCAGCCTTGGTTCCGGCTCTGTCTCGTGGCGGTCTACTCGCTCGTCTTCGGTTCTCGGCTCCAGTTGTGAGGCTGAGATCTACGCCGGGGCCATGGCTGCACAGGAGCTTCGCTGGCTCACCTACCTGCTGAGTGACCTTGGAGAGCCGCCTCGTTCTCCTCCAGTGCTGTACGTAGACAACAAGGCCATGCTGGCCTTGAGTCGAGAACAGCGCTTGGAGCACAGAACGAAGCACATTGCTCTCCGCTACTTCCTTGCTCGTGAGCTGCAGCAGCGTGGTCAGTTGCGACTTGCGTACGTGGCCTCTGAGGCCAACACTGCTGATGTGTTCACCAAGGCACTCGCGCCTTGTGATCATCAGCGCTTTTGCACCCAGCTGGGTCTTGTGTCTGTCTTGCCTCACTTGCTCTCCTCTTGACTTTACTTGTACTGAGACATATATATATACCTGCTCTTGCTTGTCTAGTTTTATATATATGTCTGTACTCCTGCATGTGAACTGGCCTCTGGCCCTGCTCTTGTGCTCGGACTGTGTGGTGACTTTGTGATCCACCCTGAGCTTGCTTTGCTTTGCTTCACTGGTCTTGTGACCCCTTGTTCTCCCCCACTTTGCCTATGGGGGTGTGTCAAACATTATATATGTTATGCTTGTGTAGGCTACAGTGGGTTAGCCTATAGGGGGTACACAATTCTAGGGTTTACTACTTGTACTCATTTCACTTCTAGTTCACACATTCCTGTTCGCTTATTCTCACATGGTATAGAGCGGGTCCTTCTACGGACCGGTTTTTTTTTCGGGTCCGAAGGCAGAGCTGAGAGCGAGTGGCAAGTAGACAGAGGAGTGGCCTGAGGCGAGGAGTACGTGAAGCCGAAGCGCTGAAGGACCTGCTGCACCATGTGTGACTGAGTCAGAATAATGGTGCGCTGTGCTCTGTCCCGGGTGATCTGCAAGCCAAGGTAGCTGTGCAATTCACTCAGGTCTGTGCACGTGTGTCTCTTCTGCAGCTCAGACTTCACGTGGGCGAGTCCAGCAGTGTTAGCAGTGGCAAAGACCAAGTCGTCGACGTACACGAGGATGTAGAACGGCGGCAAAGAAGTGTCGGTGCGCAGAAACAACGACGGGTTGGCTGTAGAAGGAGCAAACCCAAGAGCCGCAAGTGTAGTCCTCAGTGTGTCGTGCCACTCACGGGGTGCCTGGCGGAGACCGTAGACTGGCCGCCGGAGGCTCCACTGGGTACTAGGAGGAAACGACCCAGTGAAGCCAGGAGGGCGGCGCAGCCAGATCTCCTCGTGCAGGCTGCCCTGCAGGAAAGCTGTGCTGAAGTCAAGAGAGTGAAGCTCGTAGTCGCACTGAGCGGCTATGTGCAGCAGCACCCGAAGAGTGGTCATCTTCGGGGTGGGAGAGAAGGTCTGAAAGTAGTCAACTCCCTGCCGCTGATTGAAGCCTCGAGCCACGTAACGCGCCTTGAAGACAGGCGGAGAACCCGGCGGCCGCTTCACCCTGAAAATCCACATGCCACTGACGATGCTCGCCCCAGGTGGGGGAACCTCGTCGACCTAGGTGCCTGTGGACTTCCAGGAAGCCATCTCTGCGTCCATGGCTGACTGCCACTGAGAGGAGTAGGGACCCTCGATCGCCTCAGCGTACGATCGAGGAGTCGGGATGTGTGGTGCATTCGGGTCTCCCTCAGGGGCAATCAGCGTGGACACGAGATGGGGTAAAGCAGCAGCAAAGCACTAGAACTCCTCCTGCCTGTCCTCAAGGACGTCCGTGCTATGAGCACACTCACCCCCGACGGACGGAGGACAGATAGACTCAGACTCAGCAACGAGACTAACAGCGTAGTGTAGACGACAACGAGCAGCAAAGTCGACAAGCTCAGCAACTAGGGCAGACGCAGCAGTGGACTCAAAGAAAGGGTCAGTGACAACAGTAGCAAGAAGGCGCGTGATCGATGGACTAGTAGCACGAAAAGAGTCAGACTCCGGGTCAGCAAGAGAAGGAAGAGAGGACTCTGGAGGAGATGGCAACGGGACACGCAGAGGAGCAGTGGAAGGACGCAGTGCCATCTGGTGTGTGCCGGGGACCGCAGGAGGACGCGGACGCGTAGCACGACGACTAGTGCGAGCAGCACGAACAGGCGATGCAGGACGACACGCAGGCTCACGACGCTCAGCAAGACCTCCAGTAGGACCAGTGTAGGGAGAAGGAAGAGGTAACGGGGAGGCAGGCTGTAACTGTGACTACGACTGGACTGGCTGTGAACACTCTAAGGGAGGAGCACGTCCAGGAGAGGGCGGGAGACCAAGAACCTGCTCCAGGAGCGGAACGAAGTACGGCCTCGGCCGCTCAGCGCCTCTAGAACCAGCAAGGACGGCACCAGTACCCCCAGTGGCAGCACCAGCGCCAGCAGCACCTCCAGCTCCAACAGCGCCAACTCCAACACCCTCAGAAGCACCAGCGCCAGCAGCACCGCCAGCTCCAGTAGGACCGTCAGCACCAGCAGCCTCAGCAGCACCCCCAGACGAACCAGCACCACTAGAAACACAAGCGCCAACACCCCCAGCAGCTCCACCTCCAGTAGCACCAGCACCGACAGTAGCTCCAGTAGGACCAACTCCAGTAGCTCCAGCAGCACCTCCAGACTCAGCAGCACGTCTCCAGCGGCGGGCGAACCACTCGCGTAGCTCCTGTGGAGAGAGCGGCTCCCGCCTCGACGAAGCACCGCCAGCGGCCACACGAGCAGACCCAGCACCCCCAGGCCTCGCACCCCCAGGCTCAGCACCCCCAAGCTCAGCGCCCCCAGACTCAGCACCCCCAGGCTCAGCACCCCCAGTCTCAGCACCCGCAAACCTAGCACCCCCAGACCCGGCACCCGCAGGCTCAGCACCTCTAGCAGCACCAGATTCAACAACTACCTCGACAGGCTCAACAGCGTCTACCTGGGACACACCTGACGGGGCAAGACCCTGAGGGGGGAGGGGGTCTACCTGGGGAGGACCTGGCGCAAGGAAGAGTGGCGGCGGGGGGGGGGGGGGCGCAGTGCGGTAGGGGAAGAGACGGTAGTAAGGCACCGACTCGTCAAAGGTGACGTCCTGGGAGGACAGAACACGGCGCGAGGTGGGGTGGTAAAACTGCCACCCAGGCGCGTCAGGGGGGAAGCCAAGGAAGACGCAGGGAACAGCACGGGGGGACAGCTTGTCCGCAGACAAGTCGCGGACATACGCCCGAGATCCCCAGACCCGAAACGCAGACGCATTGCCAACCTTCCCTGTCCACCACAAGGCCGGGGAGGTCTTTGGCAAGGAGACCCGGGGCTGAAGGTTGAGCTGATGCGTGGCGTACTAAAGCGCAAACGGCCACAGAAAATGGGGGGCAGCCGCATGCATCATGGACGTACGAGCGACGTCCATGACCATGCCAATGCGGCGCTCAGCAATCCCATTTTGCTGTGGAGAGGCCGAAAGCGTGAAGGTCTGGGGGATGCCCTGTGCACGACAGAAGGCTCCCAGACGGGCAGAGGAAAACTCCCCGCCTCTGTCCGAGTGCAGACGCAGAACAGGAAAGTCCGAGCCGAAACTCTCTCTGAGCTGGAGACGAGCTGCGCGGATCCAGTCGATCAACACCTCAGTGACGTCACCCTTGCTGTGCAAGGGGAAGACTGTGGTGTAACGCGAGTAGTCGTGGACGACCAGCAGAAAGTACCGCTCTCGCCCCTGCCCACTGACGCGGGGTGGGCCCCACACGTCCATGTGTAGAGTCTGCAGCGGAGCCTCTGTCTGCAGCGCGCCGCCCCTACACGGAGACTCAGCAGTAAGGGTGTACAGGCTCGACCCTGGCCGACGGGTGAACGTGGCCAAGTGTTGGTCTGTCCGAGCACACGTGCAGTGGGTCATTTGCTGACTCGCAGGAGTGAACTGGTCAACCCCTCGATCCTGTAGGTCCGCTCCACTCACCAAGTTCGTAGAGAACGAGGGGAGGTAGAGACTAGACAGGGTGCCAGAGGGGGCTGCAGGGCACGGAAGGACAGTGGAGAAGCTAGGACCCCCAGAGGGGTCTGCCAGGGAGACTGCAACCGGCCGACTAAGCGGCATAAGAGTGGTGCGGTCTCGAAAGAAGGAGCGGGACGCACCCGAGTCCAGGGTGAAGGTGTGGAAGGCCTGAGCCGATGTAGTACCTGAGAGAGCAGACTCACCAGCACTTGGGGCGGCAGACGCACTGGCACCCGGGGCAGAAGACGCACTAGTACCTAGAGCAGCAGCCTCACCAGCACCTAGAGCAGCAGCCTCAATGCCCGGGTCAGGCGGTACACACAGGTAACCGTCACTAGCAACACTAGTATCAACAGCATACATGGCAGCAAGGATATCATCAAAGTCAAGATCAAAGATGGCAACCCCGGCCTTAGCCAGATCTCCCCAGCGAGGGATCTCTGACGCCTCAGGGAACTGGCGACACCATGCGTCCGTCGGCGACCAAAGCAGCGCTGGGTGGATTGCGGGCCTCCGCACTGCTCACCAGCGCGGTCGTCGGTACGGAGGACGTAAGAGCAGGGACCAAAACCCCCACCGCGCTGGCGCGCAGTGTACCACTCACGAAGCTGCTGAGGGGACAGGGTCACACCACTCCGCTGCTGCTGCTGGCGCTGACCACAACCGGCGCCACTCCTCTGCGCAGAGTCGCGACTCGCTCCACCACCGCCGCCTCTGCCGCCGCCGCCGCCTCCGCCGCCTACGCCGCCTCCTCCACCCCCGCCTCCTCCACTACCTCCGCCGCCTCCGCTCCCTCCGCCACCTCCACCGCCTCCGCCGCCTCCACTGCTGCCGCCGCCGCCGCCACCCCCGGCACCACTCCCACCACCACCCCCACTCCCTCCACCGCCTCCACCACCACCTCCACCACCCCCTCCAGCCCCTCCAGTGCCCTTGCCCCCCTTGCCCTTGCCGGTGCGGTGTCTCCCGCTCGGTGCAGACGCAGCGCTGACCGACTCGAAACCAACGAGGTCGGCCGTAGCAGCAGAGGCAACATAGGGCAAGAGGGGGGAGGGAGAACACCTCTCAAAGACGGGGGTGCGAGGGTCACCACGAGAGGCTCCTACAGCGACTATCCTCTTCTCTATCGCTAGGAGGGCCTTCTCGAGGAGGTCAACGGTGAGAGTGGCGGGGCAAACAGAGAGGAAGTGGTCCCTGACTACCCGAAGAGAGTCAGGGAGCCGGGTGACTATGTAGTAGAGGGTGATGTACATGGGGGGGGGGGTTCTTGGCGCAGAAATCAGCAGGAAGCGCAGCGCGGTAGCGAGTGTCACTAGTGCGGAGGTGCGTAATGAGGTCAGCGACTGTGGGAAAGGCAGCAAGGTCAGGGAAGAGGTACGGTAGCATGAGGCGGCTCAGTGCAGCAGTGGCAGGGGAAGAGTAGCGTGCAACTACAGCGTCGTACAAGGTCTGAGCACTCTTGTACTGGCTAAAGTGTGCACGCTCAGTGGTCGGTAAGTGGCGGCGCACAGCAAGGCGAGCAGCAGCATCACGTGTGGCCCACTGTGAGCGAACAGTGGCGTCAGCATTAGCAGCAGGGGCAGGGGAGGCACCAGAAGTGAGGTCAAACAGGGAGAGGCCGTCTGCCCTATTGCACTGCAGGAAAAGCTGCAGATCATCTACCGAGACCTCAAAGTCCACTGCCCGACCCTCAGGGTCAAAGGTGAGAACGCTAGGGGAGGCCATAGCAGCAGTAGGCAGGCAGTGAGTACAGTGAGGCAGGGCAGTGCAGTGGCAGAGACTATGCTCTTACCAGGCAGGTGGGGTGATCGGGCTGCTTGGCGGCTCGGCGGTCGAGCGGCTTGGCTGCACGGTGCTGGGCGACTCGGCTGTCGGGCGGCTTGGCTGCTGGGCGGCTCGGCTGCTGGGCGGCTCGGCTGCTGGGCGCTCGGCTGCACGGTGCTGAGCGGCTCGGCTGTCGGGCGGCTCGGCTGCTGGGCAGCTCGGCTGCTGAGCTGCTCGGCTGCTGGGCGGCTCGGTTGCTGGGCGGCTCGGCGGTCGGGCGGCTCGGTTGCTGGGCGGCTCGGCGGTCGGGCGGTTGGGCGGCTCAGCTGGCCGGCGGTTCGGCTGCTCGGCGCTGCGGGCGCTGGGCGGCGGGGCCGCAGGTGGCGGCGAGGCCGCAGGTGGCGGCGGGGCCGCAGGTGGCGACGGGGCCGTAGGTGGCGGCGGGGCCGCAGGTGGCGGCGGGGCCGCAGGTGTCGGCGGGGCCGCAGGTGGCGACGGGGCCGCAGTGGGCGACGGGGCCGCAAAGGGGCCGTAGCGGGGCCGTAAAGGGGGCCAGGCAGGGCCGTTGAGGGGCCTAGGCAGGGCCGCGGAGGGGCCATAAGGGGCCAGACAGGGCCGCGGAGGGGCCTAGGCGAGGCCGCAAAGGGGCCGTAAGGGGCCAGACGGGGCCGCGAAGGGGCCTAGGCTGGGCCGCGAAGGGGCCGGAAGGGGCTTAGGCGAGGCCGTAGAGGGGCCGTAAGAGGCCAGACGGGGCCTAAGCGGGGCCGCGGAGGGGCCGTAAGGGGCCTAGGCGCGGCCATGAGGGGCACGACGGGGCCGCGGAGGGGCCTAAGCGGGGCCGTGACGAGGCCGTAAGGGGCCTAAGCGGGGCCGCTACGGGGCCGTAAGGGGCCTAAGCGGGGCCGCGACGGGGCCGTAAGGGGCCTAAGCGGGGCCGCGACGGGGTCGTAAGGGGCCTAAGCGGGGCCGCGACGGGGCCGTAAGGGGCCTAAGCGGGGCCGCGACGGGTCGTAAGGGGCCAGACGGGGCCGTAAGGGGCCGTAGAAGGCGGCGCGAGGCGCCGTAAGGGCGGCCAACGGGGGCCAATAAGGGCGGCTTGAGGCGCTACTCGGGTTAGGAGCGAAGCGCGCTCCGGGCAGGGAAGGAAAAAAAAAGTTCGTGGTGGGCCCTAGGCAGTATTCCCACTCGGGAACCTACTCGATACCATGACGAGAAGTGAGAATGGATGAATGAACTATGAAACAGTTGGGTACAAGTACTAACCCTAATTGGGTTGTACCCCTTATAGGCTACCCCACTACAGCCTACACAAATGTATAAGCTACAGTATAATGTTCTGACAGTTGACGCAACTCATACATACCAGTTAATGTCGGCGTAGAGTTGTAGGGCGCCGAAGTGGACGGGACCTCCTACCCGCACGGCACGTTGACGTGTGCCGCACCGCCACCGTCGACGGCGTGAGGGTTGCCCACCGCCTTGTTGTTCTTGAAAAGCGCCATGTACGGGTACCAGGGGGGCTTGCATACGGCTCCCTTGCCGCTCGCCTTTTCCCCCTTCTTGATCTGCTTGTACATGTTCACAAGATTGCGCCACTGCTTCTGAAGCGCGTTTACCCCGCGCACCCAACCGGGATTCTCTTTCTCCAGATGACGCGCGAGGCGGGCCCAGTACTGAGAGCCCTGCTTCCTGAGGAGGGGCCCGAGCTCGTCCTTCATGAACCAGCGCTCACCCACGAAGATTGTGTTCTTGCGGGGGGACCACATGCTCCGCTTAACAGGATGCAAGTTACGGGTCTTGGCAGCGGCACGCGGAGGTTCCCCGCCCTTAGCAGCAGTCTTGGTTCCCGCAGCGGCAGACGCACGGCCGCGACGAGGAGCCGGAGACGCAGGCTGGGCCTCTTCGGGAGCGTCTTCGTCGGCATCGGCGTCCTCGTCGGCGTCAACTTCATCCTCGGAGGGGGACATGCCCTTGTCCTGCTCCTCACCAGAGTCCGCGTCGTCTTCGCAGGCCTCGTTGCACTCGTTGTAATCGTAGTCCGCGGCGTCATCATCGTCATCGAAGGCAGCATCGTCGTTGACGCGGGATGAGGCAACCCGGTTGGCATGACGGCGTCCGAGGGTAGGGACATCGCGCGGGGCTTCGAACGAGGTGTCCCCCACACCAGGCGCTCCTTCGGGTAAAGGGCCGGCGGGCTTGCGGCCGGCCGCGATTTGCTTGTTCATCCAAGCGATGTACAGGATCTCGTCGACATCCCGCGGGCACAAGTCAACAGAACTAGCTACGCTCTGGCGCTTACGGGCCATGGCTACAGCGTGGAAGAAGACCCTTGCTAGACTTCCCAACAAGAAAGAGGAAGCACGGGGTGGGAGAAGAAGAACAGATTGGAGCGGGAGAGTGCTGTCAGTGTGGTTGGAACGATGGGCAAACATTCGGGCAGGGATGTGACCGTGTGTGCTGAAGGACCAGTCATATGTCAGCCCGGGCAGAGAGGTTTCCTTCCCCGCGCGGAAACGTGCCTAGTTCGGGCGTCCAGGTGCATGCTGTACAGTGTGACATTTCGACACGCGTGCGATTTTCGGGATGTGACGGGGCCTCGTGTAACTCGTCCGCGACACAAGCGCAATTCACGCCAACCAATGTAAAATATGGTGGGACTCGCATAAGCGCGATCCGCTTTTGTGACAGTGCACGGTATATGCTGTTTTTAGATGTCACAAAGTGATTGAGACACAAGTGTCCCCGCAAGAATGTACCCTAAGAAGACACAAATGCGAGAAACCGCCCCTGAATGCTGGGACCTAGATACCGCAGAAGGGCAGCTCGCACGGCAGCAGGCATTCCTTCCAATCCGCATGGGAGGTTTCGGTTTGCGGATTGCAAAACAACATGCGCCTCTTAGTTACATTTGCAGCTGGGCACAAGCCATACCGGTGCTTGCATCGAACTGCAAGGTCGCAGAGACAATTTCCTACGCCCATTCATTGCATCCGACAGCCTAGAACACCTAGACTCGCAGGCACCCCACGCTCTCGCTTCCCTTCCGGCAGATTTGCGGCACCTTGTTCCACCGTGGTCTGCCTTCTTTGCGCGCTACCCCAATCGCCTTTTCTCAGCTCTAGCACAGCGTATCTCAGCACGAGCAGCGGAACAGCTACGGGCAGCGACAAACCAGCGCCACCAGTTGGTCCGTTTGACCTCCCTTCAGGACCCACCAGCCGGCGCTTGGCTTGCTGCTGTGCCCTCCACACCGCGCTCACAGCTTGACGCACCAGACTGGTTCATAGCAGCGGAGCTACGTTTAGGCCTGCCCATTCTGTCAAGAATAGAACTAGGAATGATGATTGAACTATGCAAGAGGTGAGTACAAGTAGGGGAAACCTAACCCTAAAGTGTTGTACTCACTAAGGAGTGACCCTACTGTAGCCTAGAGATACAATTGTAATCTGACACACCCCCATAGGCAAAGTAGAGGACAGCAAACACAACAAGCGGTCACAAGACCAGTCTGCAGAAGAGAACACAGATCAGGGTGGATCACAAAGTCACCACGCATTCTGAGCACAAGCAAGTGGCCGTAAGGCCAGTTCACATGCAAAGGTATATAATAGCAAGGCAGTACACTGATCACAACCTAGCAAGAGAAAACATGCAGGTATAAAGATATATAGCAGTGTACAACAAGAGCAAGGCAAGCAACCAAGAGGTGAGGCAGAGTGGGCACAAGCCCAAAAGCAGTGCAAAAACGGTGATGATCACCAGCCCCAAGGGCCTTGGTGAAGACATCAGCAGTGTTGGCCCGAGAGGCCATGTAAGCAAGGCGCAGCTGACCACGCTGCTGCAGCTCACGCGCAAGGAAGTAGCGAAGAGCAATGTGCTTCGTTCTGTGCTCCAGTCTCTGCTCGCGACACAAGGCAAGCATTGGAGGAGAACGAGGCCGCTCCCCCAAGTCGGTCAGCAGGTAGGTCAGCCAGCGTAGCTCCTGTGCAGCCATGGCCCCAGCGTAGATCTCGGCCTCGCAGTGGGAACCAAGCACAAAAGAAGAACGAGTGGATCTCCATGAGACAGAACCAGAGCCAAGACTGAAGGTGTAACCTTGTGACGACCGCTGAGTCGTCTGGTCGTCGGCCCAAGAAGCGTCATAGTGTCCTGTGAGGACCACCGAACCCCGTCCTCCAAGAACGAGCCCCATGCCCGATGTGCTGCAAAAGTAACGCAGTACCCTCTTCGCAGCATCAAAGTGCACCTTTTGGTGTCGACCAGGTGCCACGTAGCGAGCCAGGAGGCTAAGAGGGTACGCGAGGTCACGTCGTGTGCACGTCATTAGGTACATAAGGGAACCCACAAGCTTTGGGTACGGACCATTCGGCTCTACGAACTCTTTCGAAGATGGAGTTGAGAGCGAGTGGCCGGTAGACAGAGGAGTGGGCTGTGGCGAGGACCAAGTGAAGCGGAAGCGCTGAAGGACCTGGTGCACCATGAGTGACTGAGTGAAGGTGATGGTGCGCCGTGGTCTGTCCCGGGTGATCTGCAAGCCAAGATAGCTCCGTAGCTCACCCAGGTCAGTGCAGGTGTGTCTCTCCTGCAGCTCTGCCTTCACTAGGGCCAGTGCCTCAGTGCCAGCAGTAGCAAAAACCAATAACCAAGTCGTCGACGTACACGAGGATGTAGAACGGCAGCAGAGTAGTGTCGGCGCGTAGAAACAGCGACGGGTCAGTAGTCGAAGGAGCAAACCCAAGAGCCGCAAGTGTCGTCCTCAGTGTGTTGTGCCACTTACGGGGCGCCTGACGTAGGCTGTACACTAGTCGCCGTAGGCTCCACTGGGTACCCTCAGGAAATGACCTAGTGAAGCCCTGTGGACGGCGCAACCAGATGGCATCGTGAAGGCTACCCTGCAAGAAAGTTGTCGAGAAGTTGAGGGAGTGCAGTTCGTAGTCACGCTGAGCTGCAACGTGTAGCAACACCCAAAGAGTGGTCATTTTCGGGGTGGGGGAGAAGGTCTGAAAGAAGTTGACCCCCTCACGCTGACTGAAGCCTCGAGCAACGTAACGTGCCTTGAAGGCAGGCGGAGAACCCGGCGGCCGCTTCACCCTGAAAATCCACATGTCACTGACGATGTTCGCCCCAGGTGGGGGAACCTCGTCGGCGTAGGTGCCTGTGGACTTCCAGGAAGCCATCTCTGCGTCCATGGCTGTCTGCCATTGAGAGGAGTACTCACCCGAAATCGCCTCCCTGTAGGAGCTCGGGGTGGAGATGTCAAGTGCATCCGGGTCTCCCTCAGGGGCAAGCAGCATGGTCGCGTGATGGGGTGAAGCGGCAGCAAGGCAATCCAGCTCCTCCTGTCTGTCCTCAAGAACGTCACAGCCAAGGGCAATACAACCAAGAGCAGTCTCACCCCTGACGGACGAAGGACAGGCAAGGAGAGGGTCACAGACAAGACTCGCAAGGTAGTCTAGGCGGTACACAGCAGCAAAGTCAACAAGCCCAGCTACTAGGGCAGACGCAGCAGGAGACGAGAATGTAGGGTCCGTCACAACCGTAGCAAGAAGGCGAGTAACAGTCGGACTGGACGCACAAGCAAGGTCAGACGGAGGGTCAGCAACGTCAGGCAGAGAGGACGCAGGAGGTAACGGTAATACAACACGCTGAGGAACCGAGGAAGGACGGAGTGTCATATCGTGAGTGCCGGGGACAGCCGGAGCATGCGGACGACGAACACGAGGAACACGAGCACGGACAGCAGCTCTAGGCTCAGGCTCAAGGTCAAAGCTAGACTTAGGCTCTCGATGCTCAGGGGTGGAAGCACGAGTTTTAGGCTCTCGACGCTCAGTTAGGGACTCTAACACTGCAGTGTAAGGAGCAGGAGCAGGCAGTGGGGAGTGTGGTAGCAGCGGTGGCTGTGACTGGTCCGCTGGCAGACATAGCAACGGAGGAGTAGTACCTGCCACAGGGAAGTGAGTAGCACCTGGCGGAAGACTGAGAAGGTGGCGAAGAGCACCAGTAGCTCCCGTACCTCCAGCACGAGCAGCTCCTCCAGTACCCCCAGCAACACCTCTAGCACCAGTAGCACCAGCACCTCCAGCACCACGAGCTCCGACAGCGCCAGCACCTCGAGCACCAGTAGTACCTCCAGCACCTCCTGTGCCTCCAGCTCTAGCTCCAGCGCCTCCAGCATCAGTAGTACATCCAGTACCTCCTGTGCCAGCAGCTCCAGTAGCACCTCCTGCACCTCCAGCATCGGCAGTACCACCTGCTTCGGCAGCTTTAGCACCTCCAGTACGAGCACTTCCGGGACCAATAGTTCCAGCACCTCCAGTACCTCCAGCTCCAACGCCTCCAGCACCAGCAGTACCAGCACCTCCAGGGTCAGCAGCTCCCGCAACTCCAAGACCAGGAGCACCAGCACCTCCAGTGCCACCAGCTCCAGTACCTCCAGCACCGGCAGCAGCTCCAGTACCCCCAGCACCAGCAGCTCCAGTACCTCCTACACCAGCAACACCTCTAGTACCTCTAGTAGTACTTCCAGCACCTCCAGCACCAGCAGCACCTCCTGGACTAGTAGCTCCAGCACCAGCAGGACCTTACCCTCCACCACCAGGACTGCCTCGCAGAACGACCTACGCACGAATCGCCTGCGGCGAGAGCATCTCAAGTAGAGCAGGCTGCGGTGGGTGTCCAGCTCCAGTACCTCCAGTAGTGGTAGCTCTAGCACCTCCAACACCAGAAGCACCTCTAGTACCTCCAGCTCCAGCACCTCCAGCACCAGCAGTAACTCCAGTACCTTCAGCATCAGTAGTACCTCTAGTACCTCCAGTAGGACCTCCAAGCCTAGTAGCTCCAGTACCTCCAGCTCCAGGACCTCCAGAAGGACTCGCAGCACCCCCAGAGTCAGCACCCAAAGTCTCAGCACCCCCAGAGTCAGCACCCAAAGTCTCAGTACCCTCAGACCCAGCACCCTCAGGCTCAGCACCCTCAGTCCCAGCACCCTCAGTCTTTGCTTCATTGTCCACAGCAGTAGGCTGCAGAGGCGGCGAAGACGGCAGAGGTGGGAACCCGGGGGGGGGGTAGCCAGACGAGGAGAGCGAGCACCCCCAAACTCACCACCCGCAGCCCCAGTCTCAGCTCCACTGTCCACAGCAGCAGGCTGCGGAGGCAGCAAAAACGGCCGTGGCGGGAAACTCGGAGGGGTCGCCAAGTGAGGAGTGTGGCGAGTGGTCGCCGTGTC